CTTGTGGTTCATCCCAGGGCTTCAATTTACTGTTATACAATTTTACAAACTGTATTTTAAATAATGAAGTGGTCATACAAAAAGTGCATCAGAAATTAAAATGATAAATACTTTGAAATTAAAATAATTTGAAATTAAAATGAGTTTCTGCTCACTCAAATTCCTAAAAAAAATTCTGGTGGGCCAATAAAATTAGGGAATAAGTTAGAAATAAGTAAGTGTATTAGCTTTTTGTTTTGTTTAAAGCTCTGACTGAAAAATCCTTCTTTTACATTAATCATACTTCAGATAAACCTTATTCTCATTCAGTATTATTACAATATCTGTTTTAAAATTGTTCAAAGCATAAAAATGTTTTGGGGAACATAATCTCAAAGTCTTCCATTTTGTTTGCAAAAAAGATTGTGATGCATCAGGGTACACAACTGCATATTGTATAGTATATTGAGATTGCTGGCTAATGGAAGAGCACTAGCAAAAATGAGAATTTCAACATTTAACCCTTGTGCAGCAAAGATGGGATACTTTTGCAAAATGCTGTCTTTGTGAGGGCAGCAAATTGAAAAAAATATGATTTTTGAACCAATGACTGAGTCAGAAACAAATTTAAAAGTTTTCTATAATCCTGCATAAAAATTTGGATAAAAAAAATCCTCCTTGAGTGGCATTTTTTTCATGCATTCCCAGCATAGGATTAACATTGGGGATTTCTTGAAACAATGGGATTTTCTGCACCCAGCTTTAGGCCTTCCAACTTAGGCCTTGGCAACTTAGGTCATTTCAGTGACCAGTGGTCAAACAGAAATGCCCCTCATTTCCCAAAAAACCAAACTTTGCCACAGGATGGCCAGGAACCCTCCACTGTCCAAGGGTTAAAAAAGACTGCATTCTAATGAAATAATAGACCAGAAGATTTGAATGCAGTATAGCTTGAAATGTCAATTTATTATGAAGAGCTGAAAACAGTTTGTGAGGTCAAGGAAAAAAATTCAGTCTCAGCCTCTCAGATATTATGCCAAAAATTGAAGCCCAAATGAGAAGCATTTTGATAAATAGGTCATCACACCATGTTTGAGTATTTTTAAAATTTTCAGCAATAATAACAAAATATCTTCTCCAAAAATAGAAAAACTCTTCAACCTCTTCGTCCTAAAATATTGACTATACCAAAGTCATTCCTGCATGGGGCCTCAAGGAGCAGCGGACCATGAAAAAATCTCAGGTCTTCTCCCCAAAGCGGTTTTTTGAGCTCACCTAGAAAAAAATGGTGACGCAGAAACCAGACATTGGGTCAACTGCTCAAATACCAGGAGTGAGATTAAAATCACAAGGGAGAAAAATAATAAAGATGCAGGCAGATAAGGAACACTTATGGGAGGGAAGGTTTAATGAGGCTAAACAAAGGGGGCCTGCTAATGATGGTGACAGACCATTGTATGCTAAGCAGGAGCAATTCTCTAACACATCCATGTCATGGATCAGAAACAAATGCACCCCCCATATATCATTGTTACTCAGCATTAATAGCTTTATAAGAAGCAAACAAATTTGCACACCAGGTTAGGCATGCATCATGGTGAAATCTTATTTTTTCACTGGATTATCAGCACAAACAATAAGAATCCCAAGGTTTTCAACCAAAACCCTTCTGAAATAATAAATTAATCTGCATCTTCAAAATGATAGAAAAAAGATTCACATTCATACATGCATGGTCAGAAAACAAAGGAAACTATATGACATACCCCATGCACAATATTAACTAGAAAATTTAATTAAACCATTTGAACAGTTTCATGAAACAAAAATGGCTTTTATTTCAAATGTCATAGACTGAGTGAAAAATCAACCAAGGGCACAAAAGAGCAGAAAAATAATTGAAGTAGAAATCCTCTCTTACTTCATTTTGTAATGTATATTATGTCATAATCATAATGTTACATACAGGCAGGCAAAGATAGCAAACCACTAGCTTTGTAAAAATGCATGTTAGACATGCTGAAACCATTATAAAAATATAATCTATATAAAATGGTACAACATGCTCAAATTTCCTTTACCCTTGCAAATGAGGGCATCACATTTTCACTTATAATAACTGAAATATATAATATGTTGCAAAAATAAAAGTGATTTTACCAACTATAAGACAGTAGCATCATGTGTCTCCATGCATTGTACAAACCCTCTCATTCCTGAAATAAATCACCAAACCCTAAACCCCAGGCAGAAAAACCTTCCCAAATTTATTCCGCCTCTCACATAACAGTTGCGCCTCTCCCTTAAACATTCCCCCACACCTTTCAAATAATAGGCAAAATTAACAAAGCACCACCACCAGAACATAAAATACAGGACTTACTTCAAAATCTGACAATCATCATCATCATCATCATCAACACTGCTGCTGCCATCAGACCCTAATTGCTGATTAATTCGACAAACCAGTCCATTAACTTTTGGTCTTCCACCAGAACCCAGTTTCTTCTTCTGCATGGCAGAAGTTGCTGCTTGCATTTCTCTGATTGCTGTCATGATTGCTGATGTTGTCACTGGCAACAGTTTTTGTTCCAACTTATTTTCTAATGAAGGAGAGAGTGAATAAATTTTTTTCAAAATTATATTATAGGAAGGAAACGTTAATAAATCGGAGTATTTACCACAGCGAGGTTGCGAGGGTAGACTAGCGGCCGCCGCGCGAACTGATGCCATCACGGCTTCTTTGCAAAGTGAGTAGATGTCGCTTCCAGTGAACCCTTCAGTGGCCTGCGCCAAGTTCGGAAATTTGATTTCTATTTTATTTTGAAATTTGCAATAGAAACGAACCTTTGCGACTGATTTGAAGTCGAAGTCCTGGGAAACTCTGCGCCAGTCCTTTTTTGAAGGGCATTGTTTGCTGGGTCCTGATGAGAGGAATTTTCTGAACAGAACCTCCCTTTCTTCAGAATTCGGGAGTTTTATCAAAACGTGTTTTTCCAAACGTCTCAGAAGAGCAGGATCAACATCCCTATGATGAGATAAAGCTGTGTAAGACAAGTGCCTAAGAATTATTGATTAAATTAGTGCTATACAAACCAGGCCATGTTTGTAGCAGCAAGGACAAAAATGTGGGTGTCAAAAGGGTTGCCAAATTCGGTGGAATTTTGGTACTTGGACTTATTTGAGTGGGTCGTCAAACCGTCCAGCTGCACCAAAAGCTCAGTTTTTGTTCTTCTGGAAGCATCGTGGTCATGTTCTGTTCTGCGGCTTCCCAAGGCGTCCAATTCATCAATGAAAATTATTGAAGGCGCCTTTTTCCTGGCCATGTCAAATAATACCTTCAAGAAAAGTGCATAGAGAAAGTTTTCATAACAGTTTTCAAAATTTGGCAACATGCACATAACATTTCAAATTTGAAAAAGGGATGATCCTTGAAGATAATTACCTTAATTGCTTTTTCAGACTCTCCTCTCCACTTGCTGATCACAGTTGAGGCAGTGACATTGAAGAATGGCAACCCTGACTCTGAGGCAACAGCTTTGGCCAGCAACGTTTTTCCTGGAAAAGACCCAAAACATGTTTCCTGAATTCTTTCTAGCAAATTTGTTCATGATGTGTCAAAGAATTTTCTGACAAACTGACACAATGAAGGTAAATGATAATAATTTATTACAGATTTTTGGTGTCTGGGATCATAAATGGTATTCAATTTGAACATAAATTAAGTATTACTCAGTCATAAAAGTTGGAGTGAAATGACCTTACTCTCAAGAATTCAAGTTGAGCTAGTTTTCTGATTTTGAGGGAAGAATATATAAAGGTTTTTACAGCAGTGTCTGTTAGTCAGCTTATTCATAATTTAAGAATTGAAATTTACACTCACCAACAATTATGGTGTCTAAATTTCATTGCCTGGTGAGTTTCTGAAATCAATGGAATGCTAAAGCATTTAAAGTTGATCATAAAAGTTATTTCAAAGTAGAGTACATATTTTTGCAGATGAGGAAACCATAATTTTTTTCAGTATACAATGAATGATTATGTGACATGAGTTTCAATCAGGGAGAGGATGGAAAATTATAGGGAATGAGGGTTTCTCACCAGTCCCAGGTGGTCCATGGAGTAAGAGTCCCTTCCAAGGCTCAAACCCTTGAACAAAGACCTCTGGAAACCTCCTTGGATAAACAATAGCTTCCCTGTCTTGAACGAAACGTCTAAGGTAGGGTTGTTGTAGAAGGTATCTGTGAGGGTTCAGGGTACTTTGTTGTAGGGACCGTTAAACAACTCGTTAGAGAGAGTAGAGGAGAGGTCGATAAGGTTCCGACTAATCCAGGGAAGACTCTGGTGGCAACAAATTGGTGGGGGCACTTGGCATAAAAGGCACTGTTCCAACTTTGTTTGGTCTTCCCTGTGAAAAATTGAATTTTTTACTTTGTAGATGCAAGGAATTAAAAAAATTGTCTGGAAACTTTGAAAACTGTTTCAGAATTAACCTGTTCAGGTCCAAGAGGTGCCAGACAAAGTTGAGTCTTCACACATTGCTGGGAATCTCCATTGACTGAAACACTTGTCCTGGGTTTAGCAGACCTGCTTCTCATCCTTGCTGCCTTTGCCATTCCATTCATAACCTTATTGCCACCAGATGTCGCAACTACTCCATTTTCTGGAATGTATCTGATTAGCTTGACCTTCTTGCGGAATTTGTGATGGTAAAAGATTTCATAGTCTGTCAAAATGGTCTCCAGATCCACATTGTCACAGGCACTGAAGTTTTCAATGGTGCTTCTTGCTTCTTGTTGAAGTAATGCTGCACTCTCTGTCAATCTGAAATGCAGGAACATGTCATGTCACTGTTTCCTTCACATTTTAGCAACACACCTACATGTTTGCATTAAATTGAAAGCAAAGGTGAGTCATACATTAATATTCCTGGCTTTCAAGAGTGTGCAGGTTGACTACAGATCCATGGAAAAATTTTAAAATAGCACTTGAAAAATTGAAAATGCATATTTCTTCAAACAGGAGGATAATTCTTCTTAGAGGCAATGCATTCAAAATATGGCTACATGAAATTAAAATTCATTAAAAGGCTTTTGAATTAAAATCTCATTTGGAGCAACATTCAGAATGAATCAAAGAACATCTTATTGCCAACATGTGCTGTTTGAAAATTTGTTGAACATTTTCTTGATCAAATGAGATGAACTTAGAAGCAGAAGTTACATTTTCAAATGACACACATTTTCAATCACACTGAATTTGTATGAAATCATACAAAGACACATGTATATATACCCTGCTTCTTGAAGGAAATGGTTGATGAGCACAAGCAAAGCCTTTTTCCTCCATTCCCTGGCATTGGCTTCCTGCAGAGAGAAGAAACCATGAAAGAGTCTGATTGTTCAGAACCATTCAATGTTTGAAGGCTTATTCTTATAAAATAAATTCAACACTCACAGCTTCTTTGGCATAGAATGATTTTGAAAGTTCAGCCTGAGCCACTTGCACTTCTTCACCCAGGGCAGACATTTCTCCACACAAGCAGCAACTGGGACTTGAATGAAGTTCCAGAAGAACCAAGCAGGGACCATAGTTTGGAAAAGTCATGGAGGGGGGTCTGCTCAACAGTTTGATCAATGGTCACTGAGGGGAGTTCCACCTGCTGTAGACCCTCACCATGTCCTCAGTTCATTGCACCTGCTTTTATCATATGAATCTAGCCTAGTTATGGTTTACTTTTCTCTTCATTCATTTGCAGTATAAGACATGGCGAAACAGGAAACAAGGTTTCTTGTTCTAATAAAAAAATCCAGCAGATGCCTCTGGCTACTCAAGGGGCTATAAGAAATCAATGAAGCCCAACATGGTCAGTTTTTTTCATGGACCAGAAATTGATCCAACAGAGGGAAATCCCTCCTGAAAGACTGATTATCTTCTCATTTCAAATTAGGCTCTTTATTAATAATTCTGAAGAGTCACACATTCTGACTGATGGGCTCAATTACTGTATCAATTAATTCCACATTACAGTGACATTTTTCTTGAGGTACTGTATTTCACAGCAGATTTCAAAGTTTATGCATTTTGGTTGCATTGTAAATTTTAAGGGTATGAACTGCATCATGTTATCACTTTCTATAGAGAAAAATTCAACAAATAAGATCCTTGCAATTTTCAGATTTTTCAAGAGTTCTACCATTTAATGAGTATGAAGTGTTTCTCAAATTCTGATGAGATATTTGCCATTTAATACTGGGAGAAACTTGGGGGTTATCATATCAGTTATTGGTTCATCAAACAATCCAAATAAATAAAGAAAAGACAGAAAATTGAAATTCCATTCTATCAACTGTCAAAATACAGAAACCTGCAAAATGCCAATTTTATGAATTTCCAACATTTTCAGACAGTCTACATAAGTCTTCTAATTATGTATAAAAAACCTTATGGTAACAATTTAATTTATCTTTGTGGAAGATAAGTTCTGGTCATGGAAATTCTTGTCTGAATTGGAGGTTACCTCAAGATGGCAACACTGGATATCAAGATATGGACAATTTGTACAATTCAAAGCTTGAAGTTCCAAAAAAGTCTACATCAAATCAACCAAGTCTTGCAATTAAAATCACAAAAATTTGAATTGGATTCTGCCTCAGGTATTGCCAGTAACTTAATTTCTACATCATGGGCCACAGCACTAACTGTTGGAAGTATACAAAATACAAAAACAAAACACAATAGTAAAAAGAAAAAAAGGAAGAACCTGATATGAAAACAAATTACAGCAAAAAACCGGTTCATATATTCTCATCTCATGGCTACATCAGTCATCTTCCCCTCAACAGCAGAGCTCATTTCCCACACATTTCAACAACAGAGGAAACACAAGAATAAAAACCAGAGTGGAACCTTCTCAAACACACACACACACACAACATTCACACAGTCCTCAATGAACCAGAACCCAGGGATTGGAAATGAGTGAAGTAAAAGGCAATTTCTCAGGAAGAGCAAATATACTTCTTCTGGCTCCATCTATTTAGTAGAAACTTTAGGTGACCAATGCGTGTCTTGATTCTTGCTCACAGAGGTCGCTCAAAGAAGTTTTCTCAAGCCAATGCTCAATAACTCACTTCCATGGAAGAGAAGAAAAAATGCTCAGAAACATCCGTTAGCAACAAAGATATCCTCCAGTGAATAATGTATTGTAGAAAAAAATTAAAAATGCGAGGAGGGTAACATTTTGAGCAAAGAAATAAAAATAAAAAGAGATTAAGATGAACATATATAGCTTTAAAAAAGAGAATAAAAATTTGAAAGCTGCGGAATTCTCATTTTTTGTTATTTTTCGTCATGGTAAAACGAAATCAATTAATAGAACCCCCGTCATTATCACATCACTTCGATTTCCTTCTCTTCCCCTTTTCCCAAAAAAAAGAAGAAAAAAAACTACGCCCTTCTCAAGAAAGGTAAAATAAAAAAACTTCCTCAAAAAGCTAAATCGAAAAATGAAAAATTCGGGGCAACAATGACGAGTATGACAACGAAGAGTAACTTGAGGTGATGGAGTGAGGATTTGCTGGCTGATGCCGAATTTCGCCATTTCGGCCTCCGATTTCTTCTTGACTGGTTCTGCGATTTCCCGCCATTCTCTTTGCCTTCAATCCGCAAAAGGTATGCAGGAAAAAAATGAGATAAAATGGCAGAAATCATTTCAGAGACGAGCAAAATGAGCGTCTATACTTTTTGTCATCATCAGTCCACAAAAATTCTCAAATATCTCATAAAAACCCCAATTTGTCTTTGGCAAATAATTTTCTAAGTAACACATGTTTTTTATCCACCCAAAAAACACCATAAATTCCTTCAGCATATTTTAAAAGTTGCATTCTAACAATATATTAGTATGAATTTAATAACCAAAAGATATTGTCTGTTAAATAATGTGTAACCCAGAAACCAAATTGCAATTATTTTCTTTTCTCCTTATATGGGAGGAGATCCTTCTCAACAAGGTATCTGTTTCCTTGCAGCTGTTCCTTTTGTTTTGGTTCCTCCTCTCTCATGTCAGCCCGCATTAATGTGTGATGGTTGTTATTTCACGTTTCTCCTTTTCAACTTGCTATTTGTCAACAGTGACAAACAATCTGCACTGCCTTCTTCTAAACTGCCAATTTAGAAGAAGCCTATTCTGTTAAACTCACAAGTGTATATATGTTATTTATATTTATAATATACACCCAGATGTATATATTCATCAGTGTTCAAGGAACCCACAGTTCCTCAATCTAGGCAAATATTCCACCTCTATATTTTATGTTTCCAGGAAGGTATAAATATATGTACCTTCCTTCCCACATATTTCCCCAGAATTAATCTAGAGTCATTTGAGGTTATTTCTCAGAGAGACTTGCAGAATGTTTTAGCAAGACTCTCTTAAAGCTCTCTATTTTTATGTTTGTGTGATATTGTACGAATATTTTGTGAACTGAATATATTTGAAAGTATATATTTTTATTGGACTTGTATATTTTATTTACCTTGGTCTACGGACAACAAGTGTTTATAATATATTATTCAGCAAAATACATCTTACTTTTCAGATACATTGATTAATATAAAAACTAGCTGATTGAGTATTTTCAAAAACTGCATATTTCAACAACAAAATTCTGCATTGGTTTTTTTTAATGATTCAGAATCACATAAGAGCACAGTTTTATTTATCAAAACAAAGTGCACCGCAATGCTTCAAAGTGGAAATAAAATTAAAATGAAAACAGGAATGATGTGTATATATGTTATTTATATTTATAATATATACCCAGATGTATATATTCATCAGTGTTCAAGGAACCCGCAGTTCCTCAATCTAGGCAAATATTCCGCCTCTATATTTTATGTTTCCAGGAAGGTATAAATATATGTACCTTCCTTCCCACATATTTCCCCAGAATTAATCTAGAGTCATTTGAGGTTACTTCTCAGAGAGACTTGCAGAATGTTTTAGCAAGACTCTCTTAATAAACTCTCTATTTTTATGTTTGTGTGATTGTACAAATATTTTTTGAACTGAATATATTTGAAAGTATATATTTTTATTGGACTTGTATATTTTATTTACCTCTGTCTACGGACAACAAGTGTTTATAATATATTATTCAGCAAAATACATCTTACTTTTCAGATACATTGATTAATATAAAAACTAGCTGATTGAGTATTTTCAAAAACTGCATATTTCAGCAACAAAATTCTGCATTGGTTTTTTTTAATGATTCAGAATCACATAAGAGCACAGTTTTATTTATCAAAACAAAGTGCACCGCAATGCTTCAAAGTGGAAATAAAATTAAAATGAAAACAGGAATGAAAAATGTTTTTCTTTTTTGACTAAGAAAAAAAAGTCACCTCATTTAGACACAATTTCCAGCTTTTGTCTACTCATAAAATAATACACACACATACACACACCTGGAAAACCCCAAGTCAATCACCAAAACACATATTTTTCCACCCTCAGGATGTTCTTCAAAAGGTGTCATGTTTTATATCAGGTTTATATACAACGGGATATTGATGAGTCCTGAGCAGGTGGTCATTATTGCCATCAACTTTATGCTTCCCTTTTCCATTTCAGATCGAGCTTTATAATCTTCCAGGGTGAAATTTTAGAGAGCAGGATATAATTAATGAGGTGGGATGAAAAATGATGGACTGCAATGAATGAAGGCTGAGATAATTATGGTCCCCTTCCCCTTGTGAGGAGGCAGAAAATTCACAAAAAATGGCCGTTATAATTATGTGATGGGTTCACATTTAATTCCTTTCTGCTGTTATATGAGATGAGCAGAAGTAAAAAAATCCTGATTCAACTTTGGTCTTGTTTTTGAAAAAAGACATACTGTACTTCATGGTAAAACTTCATTTTCCTCTTTTTAAAAAGGCAAAAAACAGACCAATAAATGAGCTCAATTTGGACCCCAAGAAAAAATTATCACTTCAAACAGAAAATGTAACAACTCAAGAAATACAGAATTCACATCAGTACCAAAACTAGAAAAATAAATAAAAGAGCATAAAGTAAAATCTATACTGAAGAAAAATGTCCCACTTCCCCTGAAAAAAAATCCACTATATAAACACACCAAAAAAAAAGTAAACCAGAACCAAAATACATTCAACCTTGTTTCAAAGCTTTCATCCAAAAAACCCAGACAGCAAAGCTTGTCTCCTATTCCTGCTCTGTTTCATCCCAGCCAAAAAAAAATTGACAGGGAAGCAGGCAAAAAAAAAAAATTAACCCAAACAAATGAACAAACAAGAACCAGAAGAAGACCCAGGAAATTCCCTTTTATCAGTCTGTCTCATCCCATTGCTCCATTTCCTCCCCCTTTTTTGTTTGTCTGTTTTCTTTTCTGGGTCTTATATATATATATATATATATATATATAATACTGCCCATACTCTATACAGATCTTCAATCCAGCGGAAACGAGCCGCAGGCGTTTAGCTCCACCAGTCAAGAA